CTAACTTTAAGTAATACAATTCCTATAATTTAAGTAATTCTATTGATACTTAGTAAATCATTTTATAAGTAAATGAATTCATCCTTATTACTAACTATGTTTACAATTACTAACCATGATAGTCATTTACTTGCTATTCCGACTAAATGGATTACTAATAATTACTATAATCTAATATCTTATTTTAAAAACAGCAAGTAAAACTTTTTTTAGAGTGTTAGGAATGCTTTGTACATGTATACGGATCTAAAATACCATCCAGAGAATTTAATCTGAAAACTCTAAACTTACATATAATTGCTGTAAAAGACCCAGTTTTCTATATCAAAAGAATCTAAGAATTCTCGGATGATGTGCACTTCTGACTCAATTTTAATTCTTCTGAAAAGGAAATTAAAGTAATGTGGTGTAACAAAATGTTCCTTTTCAAAATTTACAATTACTTAGACATAAAATTAAATCCTCTTTATACAACTTCTATGTCGAGTCATGCTTTATAAAAATCTTTCGAGCCATTTATTCTAGCTCATTGAGGATAATACTTATTCTCACACAACCCACTGATTGAGTTTTATACACGGTAATGAATCATGACCGAATGGTTGAGATACGCTTATCTAACCTTGATCCATAATCATAATTGAAAGAGTGTGGAAAGGTCTTTTTAAACAGCATCTTGAGCTGATACTGTTAAAAGGAGATAAGAAGAATGATTAGATTTAATATCAATACAAATCAAAGTAATAAATATTTTGCACTAACGTCTACAGTCAGAATGGTCGCACTCTATCTCAAAGCACTACAATTTGTCCTTTTAAAAAATGCAACTATAATTGCAAACTTCTTTAAATCAATATTGCCCAAGCTGCGATTTTTAATTGTAGCTCTCAAGTATAGGCAGAAGTTTATAGAAAAGATAAAGTACAGAATATTATATTCAGTTTCTTCGGAAAATTGTGTGAGTTGGATTTTCTAAAAGTCTAAGATCTTTGAAACCAAGTATCATTCAGATTGCATTTTCTTAATTCAGTTTGTCATTTGCAATTTCTTATAACCATGATAACACAATTATCAATTCAAAATGTAGTTTGGAAATTATCTCTCGGTTGAAATCTTACATTAATGAATGCACAACGATATAAAATTAAAAAAAGAATTTGTATTTGATTAATTGTATGTTGTTTAACATTCCTTTCGAGAATTTTCACTCATCTGGAGAAGTACGACACCACTTGCCGGTGGAGAGCTGCAAATTTTGTCGTATGCTCGGCATTGAGGGCCATTGAGCAGTGAGGGATCTTTTCGTACGAGCACCTAATGCGACATGGTTTATATATGGTCTGATTACTGGGAAGAATTTGTGTATGAATAGTTAGGTATAAATCCTACTTTTATCATTGTATGATTTATCTTTTTACATGTATTACGTACCCACACTGTTGACCACAGATGATACCATTCTCTTGTGTTATATCTTACCTCATTATGAAAGTCAATATCTTCGAATTATGATATGTACGAGTATAACGTTTTTTTTATATGAGAAAATTGGAATTTAATTGTAATTAAATAATGAACAGTGTTCTTTTATATGATACAAACATTGGGCTTTTATATCTTAAATGATTTCTACAGAACAACTTTCCAAATCAGAGAACTTCAATTTTGTTTGTGAAAAACATGAGGGAAATCGTGAATAATATCTTTTTTCGAGGAAAACTTATTAAGATTAGATATTTCAATTAATTAAATGCTTCTTTATCTGTCATTGCCGAGTCCTCAATCCTGTAAAGCGTGAAACACCCAATCCTGTATTACATGTTTAACTTACAAAAAAAAGAGTCACTTGTATTACTTGAAATTTACTACTTATATGAATGATTACATTTTTATAGTTTTCAAATTACTACATCATCATTCATTTGCTCAAATCAATGGTGGTTTAATGTGATGCTAAAATTTGATAGCGGCAGATTCAAATCAAAATTTTATCCTCAACATTTCATCAAAGTCAAGTGTTTGTAAAAAAAAATATTTTTAACATAGAATTTTAAAACAAAACTACAGCATAGTTGATCTCCAAATTAAGTCTTGGGATGGCCGGGACCGATGAGGTAATTTTGAACTCATATCCCCAAAACAATATAATTTTTTTTGGTCATCCAAGGTTTCGAAACCTAGCTAATACTGAAGTGTTCATGTTTTTGTTTGAACGTAATAACATTTCAAGTAGGTGATTAAGTGAATACATTGACTCAGATCTTTTTTTAAAAGTATCTAAACAAAGTATTTCATTCATCAACCAACAATCCCACGACCAAAACAATTTACAACAGGTAAATATGTGGATATTCACAACTAACGCACTATCAATATTTTAAACGTTCTTATGCAACGCCCTTAAGAATGGTCTTCCCTTAATGAATCTTAAATATATACTAATTTTTCAAACTCAATGGCCCGCGTGGCGCAGTAGATAGAGCGTCTGCTCTGGAGTCGCGAAGTAAGGAGTTGATCCTTGGAAACCGCTCATTCGGATGAGACCTTAAACCAAACCGAGGTCCCATAGGTGTGGGACTCACTGTGGAAACCGCAAAATTTGCACCTCTCCACCGCAAGTAGTGGAGTCTCCATATGATTGAAAAATTTTTGAGAGAGACGTTAAACATGTTAAACAATACACAATCAATCAATCAACTTTACTCAATGAAAAATACTATTTGAAATCCTATGGTTTTTCAAATTCGTTTGTGGGTATATATATAGATGAAACCATCTAGAACCTATAAATATAATTTTCTGAAGAAGTGTTCATTTCAAAAACCATAACATTAATTCTTTTATAATGCATAAAATGAAGTTAATGGTTTCTTTACCATCAATGAAATTTATCCAAACTTTTTTCTCATTTTCTAATCGCAAGCAGAAGCCAGAAGGCGTGGTAGAGCATGATGAAACCTCTTTAAAAATATTTTGGAAATATATGTTTTCTGTGTAAATTCAAGAAATGGGTTAATCAGCCACAGTTTCTGGCAATATGTAATATTGCATTAGCTCCTTTATATAAGATATGCTTAGAAATAATCAGTTTGGCGGCCAAAGACTCTTTCAGAACAAAATGCCTTCAAATAATGAAAAAAAAACTTTTGAACTCCAATTTTGTAATTGGTCTTGATTTAAAAAGAGGATTGTAGGTAAATTATAGAATTGGCATCGGTTCTGAATCGTGGACCTCTTATTCCACAATTTTTTTCTTTGCCTAATAAACCATCCTCCAGTAATTTAAGTTCTTCAAATTATCAAGCACGTTTGTGAAAAAAAAATTAAATTGGGTAAAATTTGAGAAGGAACCAGTCAATGGTGGCAAAGTGGGCGAAAGTGATCTGAACCCCCTCTTATTGATAACAAAGTTCTGTACTCTGCGTGAATATTGAAGGAAAACGTAATATTATTTAAGTTTTTGAAGGGATTTTTTTAACCTAAGTTTCACCATGGAAAATTTTCTAAATTTTATGGAAATGATGAAAGATTCGAATATCAATCTGTAAATTAACCTTCGAGGAAAACTTCAAAAACAGGTGTAATGCATACTGAGATTTGAACTTTTATGAAAGCTAACAATAATAAACTTACTCTGTATGCATTAAGGTCAGACGAGACGTTCCTCAAAATCTGTTTTGTATATCTTCGTAATGTATGAAAAATATTCAAAATTTTCATAAAATTCTGATTTCTAAACCAGTTTCTAGACGTTTTTAAAAAAATCCAAACACTTAAACATTTGAAATTGGAAAATTATTTTTCCTCCCCTAAGGATTATATAAGAAAAACTACCCCTGATATCTTGCAGAAATGCCTGGTAAGGTACCTCAATTTTTAGTGAGTAAACATGTTTCAGTAGCAACACTTCAATGACAAACTCTTAGAAAAAATTATCTATTATTAAGGAACGTCTCGTCTGTCCTTAAATTAGTTTCTTGAAAGCAAACAAGAAAAGGATTTGAAAACAAGCAGATTTCAGGATAAGATTTTTAGTTAGCAGCAAATTTGTCTGCATTATTTTTTTTTCCTCAAAAGTGCATTGTGCTCTGGGAATATCTTAGAATAAAATTGCAGGAAGCGAACACAGAGTTATGGATCTGCATCCATAGTATTCACTTCAAAGATATTTTTTTATTCATGTGTATTGGGGATTTCCGCCAATTTTTATCGTAAATGTAAGCGTTTTGTCTGGCTTGTTTCGAACATGTATGCAAGTTTTCTGAAAGGTTTATGGCAGGTACAAAAAATGACCAAGCTACTTTACAAAGAGATGTAGAACATTTCCAGCGCCTGTTGCTTGATGTCAGTTTATGGTTTCTTTTTTTGCCGTAGTAAGAGTAGGTTCTTTAGCTCAATATCTGGGATGATGGCTGATGAAAGGTGAAAAGGGTCGTACTTCTCCCCCACAATTACACTCAGAGTCCCCATGACGCTTAACGTTATAAGATTCAGAGAATGCTAAACACGCGTCTCTGGGAAATTGATTGTGACAAATGATTGCATCTCCATGTGACTTTAATAGCGACATGTGCATTTGTGCACTATTGCAGATAAACAGCTACAGGTAACATCAAATTCCTTTTCTGTATATTGTTTCCTTCTTATCTGCGTTTTAACCGACATTGTTTCAATTTTTTTGTACATTAGGTTTTTTTGTAATATAGATACTTTACAAAAAAGGGGTTAACGTTTGGGGGTCAGCTGAACTTGATTTATACCAGAAATTGTTAAAAATGCATGAACTTACATAAAAAGTAAAAGTACATGTTTTATATCATGCGGCACTTTTCAAGGTTGATACACGCATTCACTTTGTAATATTTCATCAATTTCTTTTCTAAGATTAATTCTAGAGGGAATTTTTCAATGAAAGAAAAAAAGATTTTAAGTTCAAATGCAATAAGATGTTTGATTATAGATATTGTGCGAAATTCATATCTGGATTTGGACAAACTTACCTATTGTAGTGTAAATTGTAGCACAGAAAAACAAAGATCCCCACATACTCCAAAGTGGTTTTTCGGTGGTATCATAGGGTGTGTTCCTGATCAAATTTTCATAATTCTCCAAATATTCTCGGGACTTTTGAATCCATTCAGTTTCATTTAGCATTTCATTACTTAATTTAAACAGTTGTTTTGCCGTGAGTTCCCGGAAGTTCACAACTTTATCTCTCTGGTCCAGCTCTTCCTGATATTCTATCCAGTGAAACATAATCATTCCTATAATTGAATAAAGCACAAGTAAAACCGAAAGTCCCAACAGAGACTTGGATACTGCATAAATCTTCTTAAAGAAGTCTTTGATTTTGTTGATGATGATTTGCAATTTTGAGTCCGCTTCCATTTCCTGCTCCTTTGGTCTCCCTTCTTCCTCCGGAATACTATCCTCCGTCTCGGACGACATTTTACAATGTCCCTCTTTATTCTTGTCTTGAACAGAACTTATTGTAACCTCTGGAACCGTCAAAAGACAGCCACCTTGATTCCAGACCATGCATGCACCGAGTCAGTTTTTTCTACTATTATCAAACTCTAGCTTTCGTTTTTATCTCGTTAATTCAGGCTTGCTGGTGACTTGCTACCTCTTGCTCTCACTATATCTATTTTTATACCCTCGCGAGTAAGTATTTCTAACCACAGCACAATGTTGCTGATTCCTTCTATCCGTCAATGAAGACTAAGTATCCAATAGTGCAAATATAAGTTTTAAGAGAAGTCCTCAATATAACTAATACAAGTCTAAAATCCAGTGAAGTGGTGATAAAACCTAGCGTTTTGTTTCAAGCATAGGGTCACGAGTGATGCTGCATCTTTCCCTGCAAAGTGAATATTAGAAACATATGTTGCTGTTGTATAATGCCAAGATCCCCCCTCTCTCGCTCTCTGTCATTGGTGAGTGCTTATATTTATATGTTTCCAGTGAAGCGATTTCGTCACAGTGTACGGAATGGTCCGAGTTTTACAGTCCGATTAGTAATTCCTGCTCACGTTTCCTTTATCTCAAGCGAGATTTACGAACTTTTTAAAATACTACGCACAGATATCGAGCTGAAACTTTACATTGTTGAACCTGTGTGTCGAGCATATACATGTAAATATTTACATCGTTAATTTGTAACGATGACCACTGTGGATACTCATTTAACAGGAATGGATGATGGAATTAGGGTAATGATTTTGTCCACGTTCGCAGTCGAGACTAACAAAAATAGGGATCTATCATTTTTTTAACCCGTCGTTAACCAATTTTTAGGGTTCACCGAGGAGCATGTGTTTACTATTCTCCCAGACTGACAACAAGAACGTTCATGACTAGTGCAAGCTGAGAGTCATGTTGGTATATTTAATAAAACATGCTACGTGATTGCGTTTGAAAATGTTGATATTCATATACATTGAAATATATCTCACGGTTTTCTTAGAATCAAGCTATATTAAATAAAATGTTAGAAGCGCAAATATGTACTGTATAGTATCTCGTACTGCGAAGAAAGCAGACACAAAATCTAAACGACGGCACAAAAAACTAAACATGACAAACAAAGTTTTT